TTCTAACATGATAACAAAGTAAGAAATACTAAAGAAATGTTACAAAATAATCATTTTCATTGTCTGCGCAACTGCTCAAAACTAAAAAGTGCTATTTAGTTGAATTTGTACAGATTTTTAAAAAACATTAAATACTGTTTTGCTGCAAGTCCACTTTTAATTCAAATTAGTACTACTTAGATTTTGTACAGTTGCACGGTTTAAGTGCGTTCACTCTAGAGTGAATACACTTTTAAGATCCATGAAGCTTAAGTAGAACAATATAATATTAAATTATGCTAATCAACACTATTTAGTAGTAATTAGTGTATTTGTTTCACGGATTCAGTGCGTTCACTCTACCATAGAGTGCTTACACAAAATCAAACAAATAGTACTATTTACTACTACAGAATTAATGACCCTATGAATGATGTTCTCATTGACATGCACATGCAAACAAATTGATAAATATGTCTGATACTACTATGTGTTATTTGTATAAATTTTCACTAGTGAAAATAACACATTTTCTCTGTATAGTGGAAGTAAGAAAAAAAGGTGTATTTTACGACATAATTTGCTTTCATATTTCACTACGCTCACTCGTACTCGTGAGACTGATATTTCCAACACTAGAAGATAAAATCCGTATCTCCGCGCGCCCATGTAATATCCTCTAATTATTAGCCATTATGTTTGATTTTCTCGGTTTTTATAGCTTTATGTTTAAATGTGTAAATATGCAGCGAAAAGATTTTCTAACCGATCGCTAATTTTTTATTGCAGACCGATTTCGCACATGAAAAAAAACATAGGGTTCCCACGAAACGACATAAGATTGTTAGTTTTTAATGTGGTATAAATAGTCATTTATAAATTGTATTGTAGGGAAATCAATCGAGAATTTTATTGCAAKAGCATGTCACATTGAATTGATTTTATATTTATCAATGAAACTGTACACTTCAAACTGGCCTTATCGCTCGTGGAAAAGGCCATTTTTTCTTATTGAGTRRAGAGATTGAAATTCTTGTAWTTTTTTGGAAA